ATTATTTAAAATACAACCTCTTTTTCAAAACATGGTAAAACATTTCATTTTCAAAGCCATACGAATTCAAACCATACGCAATTTACTATAACAATGAGAACGATTATCTTCATTTCAGTTGCCTATTATGCTCAATCAGTTGCTTAACACATTTCTTGCTTTCAATTAAAACAAAACGAAAAATAAATTATGCGATACTTAATTATGGGAAAAAAAATGAGTAACACTCTTATCATTGGCATGATTCTAAATTACATTTTTTTAAGGTTAATATTACTTCTATACAGACGGACAGATGAACTTTGCGCGACAATAAATGTTTCATTCAACCACAGCTTAAGGGATGGAAGGGAGCCGATATTGATGGCTTGACCAATGACTAATTTGACAGCCCTCTTACTCCTAGTATCGTATAGACAAGAAGCTCGGTTACGCTCTTAGAATTAAACGTCAGAAAGGATCTACTAGCTTCGACATTATGTTCGGCAAACGGAAGTTCTCTCCTATCTCAGGGACAAACTGAACATATCTTAATTTTTTGTTTCCTTTTTCTCAGGTGCTATTACTTCTGTTTCAATCTTTTACCCAAGCAGTATACAGATTCTTTATACTATGACGAGAATCTTTATATTATAAAGTCTTTATACTCGGTGCTTTTATCAACTGCCTTACTTCATTGTCTATTCTTTAGTTGCAAGCGGCCATCCTTTGCATCTATTGTACTAGCCGGATTGCATCCAAACTGAGACATCCTACGTCTACCTCCCCCCCCCCATAGCCTACTGTAAACTTCCAAACACTACAGCCAAGAGGTGAAGACTTACTGCAACGTAATCCTCGAAATTTAAAGCGAACCCTTGACAGTCATTTAAGGCGCTAAATACTTTCCTTCAATTCCACGTAGACTGTGTTAAGAGCCAATAATATACTTCGATAATAATACACTTTAATCGGAAAATTAAGAACCTTATAATCGCTTGCAAAATTTCCTACTTAGAACTGCAATTTCCTATTTATAGCGTTTGCCATAAATGATGATGACTGCATCTTCAACAGTAAAAAAAAAGGTCTACTGAACCCTTTCACCAATCTATAAGTGAAACCCAAAGTCTTTCAACAATCGGAAAAAACTTCTAAAATTACTGTAATTTGAAAAATTCCGCACAGAAACCTTGTAACAATGGCCTTACGATAATCCTATCTGTAAATAACCAATATTTTTGAAAAAACATAACAACAGTAATGATTATACGCTTGTCAGGTTTTTCTCTCTCCTCAAGCACTGCCTTAGTGGAACGCACGTAAGGGTAAGGGTCGCAATCGGAAAGTCTGGAGTTCGAACTCTGGCAAAGGCAATACTAATTACGTTCTCTGACTTCAAAAATTCTAAATGATTCTACAAGCTCATTAAGATAACCAGCTGTACAGTAAACCAAAATCATCTAGATCTCTGGCTGGTTATTTTAGAAAAGTGTGTAAACTGAAAAGAAATCTTAGGCATATAACGAGTATTTATTAATAACACATACACAGGCTAGCCACGAAAAGCTTTGGAAAGTTTCATGAGCTTTTCAGTTCATATGGTCAGTAAGACCTTGGCAGTCATACGCAGGTTGCATCATTTAATTAGTTAAACAGCTCAGCCAATACACAGATATTTAATACTGAAATAATATTTCATCTGCATACATCCGCTAACAACAACCCAAAAAACTGCGGAACTGAGGTGCTTAGATTTGCATGTATATAAGGTCGTATTTTAATGAAAAGGTACCGAAAACACACGGTTACTTATATCATAGATCACAACAAAAATGTGCAAATTGCCATTTCTGCTGTTTTGGGCGTTTTAAATTTGATCGCTAACTAACCTACTATTATGAATAAACTTTCCCTTATAATAAATCTTCTCGATTAATTTCCTAGCACTCTTGAAATGTTTTTGGTCCGATTTCTCCATTTTTAAGAGGCAATTGTTGCAAGGGGAATACTATATCCCCTTGCAACAATCAAGATGTTAAAAAAAATTTTTTAATATACAGCGTATATCGTGATTAATGACATTAGAAATGGGACGGAGAAAAAGGGGAATTAGAGTTAGAAATACTTTTATTTCAGCAACGAAGCTGCAAATCATTTTTAAAATTATAACTCGGATACAGCATATATTGGACGAGTTTCTATGACATAAATAACAGAGTTAATTCTTAATAACAGTTTTAAATTATTAAAAAAGTATTCATTGCTTTTCAATCGTCTTTTTGTTAATGCGTCACTGCCTGATTAAACTCAAAAAATCAAGTGAAATGTTTCACGCTCTGTTGAAAGGCAGTAATCTGAGAATTGGCTATTTGCGAGGCCATGAGCAAGATTATTTGAAAACCTTATTTTTTCCTCAATGGCAACACTTACCAAAGTACGAACATAATAAACGCATAATAGTGGGACGCAAAGCAACGTCCGCAAAAAAAAATCTCCAAAGATTCCGTTAAGGATGCTACTGAAGTCAAAACGCAAGCATGTGTGTCGTCTGAAACCGAAAGCGAACAATGCCCTCCGAAATCGAAAAAACGCGGGATCTACTTATGGCAAGAGACCTGTTGTTACACCGCAAGACGGGCTGCCGCACTGACTCATGGGATACTTGCCTCATCTCCGTCATATCAAAGCCGACTCATCATGACTCCGATGCGGGCTACGTCATCAAAGTTGAGAAAGTTCTCGCGAAGCCACCTGCCGAAGGAGGGTAAACGGCTGCTGATAGTAAAAAAAAGATTCGAAATGTAATATAGTTACGGATAGGTTTCATCGTTTCCCTAATCGGGGAACAGCAACGCTGGGATTCTGTTCAATCTCCGCTTTACCATTTACATTTCTATTTAACTTTATTATAGGGCTTAGGCACTAAAGAGATTTTGGTGTCTTCCATACATAAATTGACGCCAGTTTTTCCTTCTCTCTCCACCAATGGAAAATTTTGGTAGTGCCCGCTTTCCTAAGTCCCGAAATAGCTTTTTTGGGATGCCATTTTTCCTTGATACCCTAAAAACATGTGCTTTGCCTATTGGTTAATGCAGTTCCACATTTACTATATAACAATTCGAATTAAATCAAACTGACGATTTAGAAATAAAGTTAGAAGTCCACAGCAAATATTGCGACTGCTAGAAACTAGACTTTAATATTCTCGCATATAAGGCATTCTCTAGCACACCGTTCAACAAAACATAATTAAGATCTTAAATACTGTCTTTCAAATTAAAATTTTTATTAATTAAAAACTGAGAGATTCAAAAACAATAAGCACATCTGAAAATAATTTGAATATTTATAGTAAATTAATCGTTGTAAATTGAAATGCATTAAATTAATAATTTATCGACTGATCATTTTTATGAACACTTGTAGCTTTGTGGCAATTAATGAAAGATGTAATCCGTTATGTAACTGGTACAGGACTATTTATTTATTTTTAATATTTTTAAAAATAAATAAACACATAAAATTTATGAATAATTTTAAAATGTGAAAAACCATAGGAATATTTAGCTATAAATAAAATATACCTGTGCATCGGCGTAAAAAAAAGCACGAAAAAAAATTTGATTTTCCTTACTAGGTTAGGTTGATCGAATAGTTAGTTGCGTCAGGGAAGAGTTTCCTTTGTAGAAGTCTTTTAAGGCAAAATGGTTTTCACTTTCACACGGTTCGTATTCACGTTTAGTGGTCTTAATCATTTGGCTACCCCTAAGGCGTATATTTGATTTAAAAATGAATAATTATGTTTTTAAAATTATTTTCAATCGGACGCATTTTCGATCGAAGTAACGATGTTTGCTGATTTCTATGAAAGTGCAGTTTAAAGCCAAAATAAATGTACAGCGAAAACATAAAAAAAATAAATAAACAAAATGAAATAAAATAAATTGATAATAAAATTAACGCAATAAAAAAGTAAATCCCATCTGGAGATTTCAGATTCCCTGAAGAAGAGATTTTTTTTAAAAAAAAAGAAAAGACAGCTGCAATCTGAACACTTTATAGATTACAATCCCACCAAAAAAGTTGATCATTATAAATTTAAAAAAATAAGAAAACATATAAGTCATAAAAATATTTTGCTTATATATGCTGTCCCAGATGAAAAGAAAGAAAATTCAAGATAAATTATGCAAGTTTAATTTGAACAATGTACTGCATAAAGATGACTATAAATATATTTCTACAATTCAAAATATAAAAAAATCAATTTAAATTTTTTAGATATAAATCTTAAAATGTGTGATCGTAGGCAAAATGCCTGTCCCTTTCAAATTTCACTGTTATTCAACGTCTTTTTTTGTAATCTATTTTATTTTTTTAAAATAAAGATTTTAATTATTTAATATTATTAATTATTTTAATGATAAAAATTAATTACAGAAGTTTTTCTAACAATCAACAGAAAAATATTTTTCTTCCACTTCATGTCAAGTCCGTTACCTTGAGATTATTTTACCCCCAGTCACTGAATATGTACTGCTCCTTTTAGACAGATTTACAAACTAATTTTGGGTAAAATAATCTTAAGGTAACGGACTTGACCTGAAGTGGAAGGCAAATTATTTTTATAGGTTTGCTAAATTTCTATCTAAAAATTTTCAACTGTTTTTTTTTTTTTTTTTTAATTTCAAATTGTAGAAATATATTTATAGTTCATTTTATGCACTGCATTGCTCAAATTAAACTTTAAATATTAATTTAACTTGAATTTTCTTTCTTTTCTTCTGGAACAGCATATGCAATCAAAATTTGAAAATGTACCATAACATCACACATGGCGTCAAAAACAGCGTTTATCAATAACAACATAAAGGAAAACAAGGATAACAGGGAAATTATCAGTTGTATATGCTATAAATTATATATATATATATTAAATTTCTTCGATTATATACATTAATTTAAAAAATAAAGAGTTACATGATTAAAACGTACATTTTTGTTTAATTTCCACTTACCACATTCATCTACAACGGATGACCAAAAAGAACAATCAAGACGCAATAACTTGTGCACTCGTACGATCTTGCGGTCTCAACTGAACATCATCACAGGTGAGGATACTCCGACGACGCCAAGTGAAAAGAGGAGGGGAAAACTTGGTGATAAAATTGCGCGTAGAAGGACTGCGCATCATGTGAGAACATTATCTCGGGACTGTAGGGACTCCCGATTCTTTGATCTCGGAGGCGAGGTGAATCGTGTTCCTTCCTAGACTTTTCATGCTGTCAAGGTCATCTCAAATAATCATTTGTAGAGGATAACATTTTTCGCTGAAAGCCAGAAAATAATCGAAATAGCAAAGCAAATGCTCTCCTCTTTTTACAAATTGTCAAGAATTTTTTAAGTGATGCCTTTAATATTCCGGGAGCATACACACCAACAATTAACTTGCTTTTGTTCTAAACGTCAAACAGTCATCAAAGCATTATTTTAAGCTGTTTATTTCTAAGGTTTCATTAATAACTGCTATTTTATTTTAATCCCTTTCTGAAAGAACTGGCATTTAAACTACAGTGAAGCTTTTATAAAACGACCACATATGGTCTTATATAATTTTGTTTATCTGTGGAAATGGTCGTCTTGGGAAGGCGATATTTATTTCCAATTATTATGTATAGTTTGAGAAGTGCTGGTAAATTTCAGAGGTGGTAGTTCCCAGTAAAATTCTTTTATTTTATTTTGAGCGTAAAAATATTAAGATACCTGTTACGATAGATCCTTACCATCTATGTTAAGCCTAGTAGTTTCACACTCATTTGTAAAACAATAATTCTCCAAGAGATTTTATTGCTTTTACATACTAATTTTTGGCATCTCAAATAAATATTAAAAGTTCATCAAATTCACAAGGATCAAAATCTTCCATTCAATTAGAATCACAAATTTTTGCGAAATCAAAGAATATTAACATATTTTACATAATCAAAACTCATCCTCTTAAGAAAATGAATTATTTAAAATCTGTGATTTTGTGATTCTTAATAATAATTTGCAATATTATTCACATTTAAGTTTGACAAACAAAACAGGTTTTTAATTACCCTATAAAAAGGTCAATTATAAAATTATTAACTCTGTTTCTGGTAAACAATTTCATCTGCATCTTTAAAAAAAACTCATGTTGATAATGATATTTTGAAATAAAAAGTTGATTTTAAGCGACTGCATGAGTGTGTGTGTAACCTGCTGCGCAAAAGAACGGAAGGATTATACACATTTTTTTATCAGGTTTTTATAAATCAAGCTTTTACTTGAAACCCACAAAATAATACTGAACTAATAATAGAAAAATAATTTATCATATTATTTAATGTGAGCGAAAGATTAAATAATTCGCTTTTTAAAATTCATCTTCAATTTTAAACTATGAATAATAAATGCATGGAGCGCCCTTGACAAATTTGTAAAGGTAATGGCTATGCTTTAGACCAGCGGTTCTCAACCTTTTGACTAACGCCTAAACAAAAATTGAAGACCTTTACTAACACCACCACAAAGTACTACTTCCACCAATTCTCTTGAACAAAGCTCAGATCGCATAAATTTACGAATGTTAAAGAAAAACTCAATCAGGATGTTGGGGTTTTAATTTTTGAATTTAATAGTTAAAAATACTTCGCTTTTTTGTGTACCACCTATTTTTTTCTTGCGTACCACTGGTTGAGAACCCCTGCTTTAGACAATGCATTAGATTATTAAATTTCGTTATTTAGGCGCGCACGCTTTTATTATTCGCAAAATAAAATTGCGGATGAATTTTGTAAAGAGAATTACATAATCTCTTGGTTCCATTAAATTATGTTATAAGTTATTTTTCTACCTTTAGTTCATTAATTATTTGAGTTTTAAATTATAGCTTATTTTATAAAAAAATTTGCTTTATTTATTAGCCGAAAGGGGCAATTTGCTCAGAAGGCATATTAATTTCGTTTTGGCATTTTGCTTTGATTCTCTATAAACGGCGAATCACTTTTTAAATTGTTGCCACCCAATAGCCGTGTATTATATTTAAAATGAAGAATCTCCATAAATGTACGTATATTTCTCTCACTGTGATAAAACAAAGGTACCTAGAGCCATCAAATTTTGAATAACGCAGGTCTCCACCCGAATATGGGCATCTGGAATATGGGCATTTGAAATTTTGAATTTTTTTATTATCTATTCCATATTTTGTAAAGCATTTATGAGTTTTTGATTATGAAAATCAGCGATTTCAAAGCGAGCAATGGCAACTGTGTACGGGGGGGGGGACCATTTTATCTCCAACGCGCGAGACTTTGTACCTGAAATGCTAAAGATATGCTCTTTTAAATAACTTCTGATATTGCTGTTGAATTGAAATTTATGGTTTAAATGCGAAGTACATGCTATTTAACAAATAAAGGTAACACACAAAACGTTAAAAAAAAAAAAAAAAATTGGTCGTAATATAAAATCTGAAAGCTTTCAGATTTTTTTATTGTTCTTTTTTTATATATACTTTTTTATTTTATTAGTCCAAAGGGATTTGAATCCCGAAGGACTATTAGTTTCGTTTTGGCATTTTGCGTCGGACTCATAAATGTCGGTTCACTTTTCAAACTGTTGCCACAAAATGTTAGAGTCCTGCATTATATTTGAAGAAATTAAATAATGAAAATCTGCATAAATGTATGTATATTTCTCGTATTGTGATAAAACAACGGTACATAGAGTCATCGAATTTTGAATAACGTAATCCTCCAACGAATATGAGCATGTGGAAGACCAAATTTGAAATTTGAAATTTTTTTTATGATCGATTTCCTATTTTTTAAAACTTTGACGAATTTTTGATTAACAAACTCAAGGATTTCAAAGCGAGCAATGGCAACGTTGTGCAGAAAAAACATTTTTATCTCCAGCGCGTGAGTCTCTGTATCGGAAATTCTAAAGATATGCTCGTTTAAAACTATTTTGCGATATTGCTGTTGCACTGGATCTTATGGTTTAAGTGCGAGGAACATGATATTTAATAAAGAAAGGTAACACACAAAATGTTAAAAAACGCCCCTTTGGACGTAATTTAAAATCTGAAACATTTCAGATTTTGTTTTTTTTATGAAATTTATTTATAAAATTTTATTTTGTTTTATTTGTCAAGTAATGCATTTCCGCTAAATGTTAAATCGCTTTTTCTGCTCGCTCTCAGCACGTGAAAAAATTCAACCGCTATACTTCAAAATCTTTCGCCAGAAAAGCGATAAGATGCCAAAACTGGACGATACAGTAATGACGAAATCAGCTTCGAGAAAGTGCTCGGGACTAGCAGCGTCTTTAGAGGGGCATGATATCAGCATCCTTTCTTCTTCGACCTGCGAAAGAGGAAGCGTCGTAATTTTTTCCACACATTCCTTCTCTTTGTGATAGACCCCCTCCCATTATTGCACGCTACCAAGATATTTATGAGAAATTAACACGTGTTTTGAAATAAAATCGAAATTTCTGCAATGACATGCTGATTGTTTTGTTCAACGCCTTGCATATTGTAGGAGAGCATGTGTTAAAGAGTATTGGAGCAATGCTACATATAAATCTAAAACATGTGCGAAGTCCCACTTTCCAAGCATAATAAAAGCAGAGTTGGATTTCGCCGATCGGTAAGCAAAGGGTTATGCCAAATTAAGGTTCACTGCTAATTTATTTATATGCTTTCTCTTTAGAAACGTGTAGAGTCATTAGGTTTATCGATGCAAGAGATGTAAAAATGTGCACTGCCCTCGCTGGGATTCGAACACCGGACCTCCCGATTGCTAGCCAAACGTGCTATGTAGTCACATCACGAACGCACGCGGAGAGGAGAGAGAAAATACCCTATATACCATCCCTTCTAGAAGACGACTGGGGATGAGAAGACCCAGTCGTCAAATCCTAGCAATGACGATTGAACGTCTACCGCTTTTAAGTTCGGGTGCCACTTGTGGAATTTTTTTAGAATTTTTTATGTCAGGAAACTGAAGAAATCTTCAATGCAGACCCCCATTCAGCGGCACGTTACCCTAAGAAGGCATGAGGATAGGAATAAGAAAATACTTTATGAACGCTTTTAAAGGAGGCCTTGAAAATTTTAATGTCCGTAATGATTCAGTTATATTATATGGCTACAGTGACTAATATTATTATTACTATACACCTGATACGATAAATACTCGAATTGTAGCTAACTGTGCTAATTGTTCAATAATGAAGAAACTTTCAAAAACTTCTTACACCATTACGTTAGCTTACATTCCCTTACGTTTATCATCCATGCGGCACAGCAAGTGCTGTCTTTGCATGAGACTGAGACTTAACACTTTTAGAGTACGGCTTGGCAAATATAAATCGCCAAGTTTTCATTTTTAATCCCCACATCCTTCGGATCATCTATTTCAATTAAAAAGGCAGAGTTCTACCCTTCATAATAGGCGATAAGAAATAGACTATAATTTAAGATCCTTGAGACTGCTCGATAATCATTAATCAATGTTTGAAAGAGTTTGAATTTGAGTAAAATTAATGAATTATCGCTATAATAAAATTTAAAAAGAAAGTAATGTCAAAACAATGCTCCTAGTTCGAAATCCCCAAAGACAGCTTAATGAAATGTTCAGAATATATTAACTAAAAATAATGCAAAATAATGCTCTTTAGTTACAAGTCTGAATATATAAAATTCTCAGTAATTTCTCGTTTCATTTTTGAAAGGGTCCATCTGTGGCTGAATGTACACAGCGTCTGAACACGAATCATCTGACTAAATTTGAAATCACGATTATCGGTTTGACTACACGGGCCTTTTAGTGGCTATGTGCAACCTGAATACAAGCGAGTTTCCTTTAAAAAGTTTCTCATGAAAGCATATTTCTACTTAAGCAGTTAGCTTTAGTGTATTTTGTAAAAATAAAATAATCATTGCATCATATTTCAAAGGAGTTGCTAATAGCGGAGTGGATGAGACCGCTGAACATTGATAGGGTGTACCAGGTTCAAGGGTGCTTTCGTTTTCTTCTCCATATGTAA